CGGCTCCGTGGGTGCAGCCTGCCCGCCGTGGGCCTTCGGGCCTGGCTGCTCGGAGGAGTGCCGGTGCGAGCAGCGGAACACGCAGGCGTGTGACAGGAGGGATGGCAGCTGTTCCTGCAAGGCGGGCTTCCGGGGGGAGCGATGCCAGGACAGTAAGTGCCGGGGGCTTGGGGGCGGGGTGTCCCTGGGCCGGCTCACCCTGCAGACCCCGTTCTCCTCGCCCCCTGCAGCCTGTGAGCCCGGCTTCTTCGGGCCGGGGTGCCGGCAGGCGTGCGCCTGTCCTCCGGGCTCGGCCTGTGACCCCGTCAGTGGCGAGTGTGGGAAGCAGTGTCCTGCCGGCTACCGGGGAAGACACTGTGACCAAGGTGAGCAGCTGATCCCTGGTGCCCGGGGCGCGGGCGGGGTGCGGACTGTCCAGCCCGAGCTGGGTGCTGGGCCCCAGAAGTGCAGTGAGCTGGAGGCGGAGCCCGCCCTGCGGCCAGGCCTGGGTGGCGCCTCGACCCGCTGTGGTGCCGTCTGGTCTCCATCTCCATGTGCCTGTGGGAGCTGCTTGGGCAGGAGCTGGCGTGACTGGCCGGGGCCGGCCAGAGAAGGGTCAGTGCCTCTCCAGAGACGTCATTCACCGCCTCGCCCATTCACCCCACCGTGTGCTGGGCGTGCTTCGTGCTGAGGCGGGGTGCAGGGGCTCCCTCCAGGCAGCCGGAGCCAGCCAGAGGCAGCTGCTCCTGGGGGTGGCGCTTGGGCTGGAGTTGGGGCCGGAGGTGCGGGTGTTGGGTGTGGGTGGTGACGCAACCCTCCCTGTGGATGCCGAGGGCCGCGTGAACGGTCCCAGAGCAGTGGGCGAGTCCCCCATTTACTCGTCGTGGTCAGATGAGGGGTGTCCTCGGTGTGTGTATTGGGGCAGCTGTGGCCGCCACCGACGGTGCCAGCAGGTTAGGACCTCCCTTGGCGCGTAGCACGCACTCTGTCCCCACCCTTCAGCCTCGGGTGAGCAGGGGCTGCGGCGGGCTGTGCTGTGACTGCTGTGACCATGTCCCCTCGGTCAGTGCTGCCGCCCAGCTGCTCCTCCCTCTGGGGAGGAAGGAGGGGCCCGGGGGCTCCCCTGAGCCGAGCCGAGAGATCTGTCTCCCCTGTGTGTCCAGGCCAGGTCCCTTTCGTGTGGCAGTCCCAGGAGCGACCCTGTTGAGGACTCTTGGTACCATTAGTACGGGAGGGGCACAGGCTGGGAACCGAGCCGGGACCCCCAGACCTGCGGTCCCGGGCCACTGTCAGCAGCTCCACAGGGGCTCGGGGAGCCACACTGCACGGCGGCGGGCTCGTCCCCGCCACACGCACATGCACATGCACATGCGTGCACGAGATCACGCACACGTGAGCGGCCCGTTTGCCGAGACGAGAGGCTCGCCGCAGCCCTTCCCTGCCGCCGACCTTAGTCTTTCTTTTCCTGTTTTCTTCAAAAACCACCGGTGCCCTAAAGATGAGCCACAGGAAATGACACACACGTTTTCATAGAAACAATGGGCTCCCCTCTGCCGCTAGGTCTGGAAAGTGTTACCACCCCAGGCACGCGTCTGCCCCCAGTTAGTGGGGAGGGAGCTCCTGAGGCTGGCCTGCCTGTCCCTGCCCCCACAGCAAGGGTGCCATGCATGTGCGTGCCCTGCACCCTACTGCCTACTGCACATTCGTATACCTGTGCCCTGTGCTGGGGTGCGGGTGGGTGCCCACAGGGAATGGGCCCTCATGACAAGATTTGCTGGGTGTGTCTTCTGTCCCAGAGACCCCATCAGGGCCTTGGCCTGTCCACTGCCAGCCCTGCGTGGGTGCTCGGTCAGGGGCTGGGTCCTCGGGCATGGCCCCAGGTGCTGTGACGCCTTCCTCGGCCTGGGGAGCCCCTTCCAGCAGCAGCCGCATGGGGTGGGCAGGCCCGTCCGCTCCCTGGGTCACCCCGGCCGGGGCAGAGCCTCTGTGGGCCACGCCCTCTCAGTACCCTGTCCTCATTGGTGGGGGACTCTGCAGAGACCACAGCAGAGGTCGATCCAGGTGACAGGAGCGAGGGCGGAGTCGGCCCTGCCCCCCACCCATGGGCGCTTTTCAGGGTCTCATATGCCCCGCCGTGTGGCAGCCCCCCCCGACCCCAGACCTGCCCGTGGAGTCCTCCAGGCTGCCCCTCCCCACTCCCCCATGCACGGTCAGCCCAAATGGGCCCCTCGCACCCTGTCCCATGTCCCCCGTCCCCTGCCCACTCCTGTGACTGCCCTGGTCGCCCCGGGCACCCTGGCTGTGTCCAGCAGCTGGCTTGGGCAGGGGCGGATGGGGGGCCGGTGGGGAGGAGGACAGCTCCACACACAGGGGTAGCTGAGGTCCTGCCCCTCTTGCAGAGTGCCTGGCAGGGACGTTTGGTGTGAACTGCTCAGGCTCCTGCTCCTGTGGGGGTGCCTCTTGTGACAGGGTCACCGGGCGGTGCCTGTGCCCGCCTGGGCGAACCGGGGACGACTGTGGGACAGGTGAGTGGCGGTCCCCTCACCGCCCTGTGCTGTACGACTCCAGTGGGGCCCCAGCCCGGGTCGTGTGTGCAGAGCCCAGGTCTGGGTTGTGCCTGGGGAGCTCTGGGGAGCCCAGGCCCGTCCACAGCAGCTGTGGGAGCCCTTGGGTCTGGGAGTGTGGGGTCTCCGGCTGCCCTGGCTGGCCGTGCCCACAGAGGGGCGCCAGGAACCTGTCAGCCACGGGGGCAGGCTGGCCGGAAAAGCCCCCAGCCCTCCCTGGGGCCTGCAGTTTGCCCTATGGGCTCCCTGTTGACTGTGTGGGGGTTTCCTGGCCCCCCCGATGGGCCCCCTGTTGTGCCTGTTGAGCCGTCCGGGGCAGGAACCCCTGTTCCGGGGATGGCAGCCTGCAGCCTGCAGCCCAAGGGGCTGGGAATTCCCATGGCCCATCCTCCCCTACCCCTGGGCCGGCTCCGATGGGAGCAGCGAGGCCCGCTCCTGGGCACGGGCTTCGGTGCTGTGCCAGGCAGGCCCAGCATGGCCCCGGGGGACTGACTGGCCGTGGGGCGGCCAGATTGTCCAGAGGGCCGCTGGGGGCTCGGCTGCCAGGAGATCTGCCCAGCGTGTGAGCATGGTGCTGACTGTGAGCCCGAGACGGGAGCCTGCCGGTGCCGCCCCGGCTATGCCGGCAGCCGCTGCCAGCACGGTGAGTGCCGCGCCGCCCCAGCCAGCCCGTGGGCCCGGCCCCCCCGGCTGAACCTCCCACCCCGCAGAGTGCCCCGCGGGCTGGTTCGGGCCTGGCTGCCACACGAGGTGCTCCTGCGCCAACGACGGGCACTGCCACCCGGTGACCGGACGCTGCAGCTGTGCCCCTGGGTGGACCGGCCTCAGCTGCCAGAGAGGTAGGGGACCCTCGTCCAGCGTTCCTCCCCGGAGAGACCTCCACCCAGAACCTGGGGGGCCGGGAGCGGGCAGGAGGCCCCGTACCCCGGCCTGGCTGTGGTGCCCAGGGCCCCCGCTGCGCTGGCGCTGGGTGACCGGGCCGTGTTGCAGCCTGTGACAGTGGGCGCTGGGGACCTGACTGCAGCCGCACCTGCAACTGCAGCGCAGGCCACGGGAGCTGCGACGCCGTCAGCGGCCTGTGCGCGTGTGAGGCCGGCTACGCGGGCCCGCAGTGCGAGCAGCGTGAGTCCTGGCCGGGCCCCAGCCGTGCTCCGTGAGCGTGCACACGCTCGCGCTCCCGTGACGCACGCTCACGCACACGCGATGCACACGCTCGCGCTCACGTGATGCACGCTCATGCACACGCGATGCACACGCTCGTGCTCATGTGACGCACACGCGATGCACACTCGTGCACACGCGATGCACTCATGCACATTCATACACACGTGACACACATGCACGCATGACATGCACACGTGATGCACACACAATGCACACGCTCATGCACACATGATCCACATGCTCATGCACACATGATGCACATGCTCATGCACACATGATGCACACGTGAGGCACACACGATGCACACTCATGCACATTCATGCACACGTGACGCACATGCACACACGTGATGCACATGCAATGTACATGCTCGTGCACGTGGCGCACACACGACGTGCACATTCATGCACATGTGACACCCATGCACACACGCACGCACATGTGACACACACATGTGATGTGACATGGCACACATATGACGTGCTCACACACTTGATACACATGCACATCCATGCACATGCGATGCGCAGGTCATGCACATGTGCCACACATGCATGCACACGACACACATGCACATGTGATGCACATGCTCATGCACACATGACACACACTCATGCACACATGACACATGCACACATGTCACATCTGGGGTGCCTGCCTCTCCTGGGGCCCGGTTCCCAGCTGCGGGGGTGAGGCAGAGGCATGTGGGTGAGCCCAGCACCCCTGGGACGGGGAGCCAGCCCCGGCCCGAGTCTCTGTCCAGCTGGGTTGGCAGAGCCGGGCAGGACTGGGTCAGGTGCAAGGCCCCCCAGCTGACAGTGGCTGGGGCTGTGTGTCTCAGGCTGTCCCCAGGGCCACTTTGGGCCGGGCTGTGGGCGGCGGTGCCAGTGTGAGCACGGGGCGGCCTGTGACCATGTCAGCGGAGCCTGCACCTGCCCGGCCGGCTGGAGGGGGACCTTCTGTGAGCATGGTGAGCTGGGGCAGGGGCTGGGCCAGGGTGGCAGGGACCGTGGGCAGAGTCCTGTGACCCAGCGTCTCTCCATCGCCACCCCGCTCCTGCAGCCTGCCCGGCCGGCTTCTTTGGACTGGACTGCCGCAGTGCCTGTGACTGTGCCCCCGGGGTGGCCTGTGACGCCGTGAGCGGTGCCTGCCTGTGTCCTGCCGGCCGCCGCGGCCCCCGCTGTGCCGAGGGTACGTGAGGCCCCCTCGGCCATGGGTGATGCAGGAGGGATCTGCTCACTGCCAGACTGGCCCTGAGGCCCCGGCCTGGCTGTCCGAAGCCGCTGGTGGCCACCCCGGGAATGCTGCTTTGCCCACGAGGGCCAGTGTGTTGGTCCCCATTCGTGGCCACCCTGAGTGACGTCCAGGCCAGAGGGAGGAACAGAGTAACCACATAGTCCCTGGGGCCCTAGCGGATCCGTCCAGTGGCCTCAGTCTGCTGCAGCCCCTCCCAGGGTCCGTCTCCGTGACCCCTGACCGCCCTCTCCCCTGCAGCCTGCCCAGCCCTCACCTATGGGCACAACTGCAGCCAGGCCTGCACCTGCTTCCATGGGGCCTCCTGTGACCCGGTCCTTGGACAGTGTCGCTGCGGCCCTGGCTGGACAGGCCCCAGCTGCCTGCAGGGTAAGCCACGCCCACGTCCCAGCTGAGGTGTGCGCGCCCCTCACTGGGTCCCCTGGGATGCTGAGTGGATGTAGGACTCACCCAAGGGAAGAGCTGGGGCCCGGGGAGGTGGTGCATATGCCCAGGACGGCGGGACTGGTGGGCCCGGGTGGCCTGGGGCAGGTCACCCTGGGTGAGGTCTCCGAGCCAGGTCCGACGCTGGTCTTTGCGCTGACCCTCCCCACGGGGGCTCCAGGCCCCTGCGGGCCCGGCGGGCGGGTGCTGCACCTCGCCGCCCTCCCGGTCTCCCAGCCTGCCCCGAGGGCCTGCACGGCGAGAACTGCCAGCTTTCCTGCATCTGCCAGCACGGGGGCACCTGCGACCCTGTCTCGGGCCGCTGCACCTGCCCAGAGGGCTGGACCGGCCTGGCCTGTGAGAAGGGTGAGCGCTGAGCAGGCAGAGGAGAGAAGGGGGAGGCTGGGGGTCTGTGGGCACCAGGCCGGCAGCCCAGTGGGCCTGGTCCAGCCCTCTCCCTCTGTGGCCGGAGACGGCTCCCCGGTTGGGGGGAGCATTGTCCTGCAGTGTGGCCTCGGACCTGCAGCGTGACCAGAGCCTCCACCTCTCCTTCCCAAGGACGCTGGGTCCGAGGCTCTGGGTGCAGGAAGCATGGGTAGGGCAGGAGTCTCCTGGGTCCCGCCCCAGGAAATGGGACCCTCACCCTGTTCCCACCCCTGCAGAGTGCCTCCCGGGGCACTTTGGAGCTGGCTGCCAGCACAGCTGCAGATGCCTCCACGGCGGCCTCTGTGACCGGCACACAGGCCGCTGCCTCTGCCCAGCCGGCTGGACCGGGGACAAGTGTCAGAGCCGTGAGTGGGATGAGCTGGGGACTGGTGCAGGGAGGCCCAGAGGCCCCACTGAGCCAGAAGGAGGCGGGCTGCACCCCTCGCCAGGATGTGGGAGCCTCAGCACGGTGGTCGGTTGGCACGTAGGTGGCGGGGTGCTGTCTGAGCCGCCCAGGGTCCCCTGCAGGAGGGTCTCAGCCAGAAGCTGCCTAGAGTAGGAGGGGGTACGTTGGCCCCCGCCCAGTCCCTAGAGAGACATGGCCTTCCCCCCGTCTCGTCCTGCAGCCTGCCCTGAGGGCACCTTCGGGGACCACTGTGAGGGGCGCTGTGCCTGCCGGCGAGGAGCCACCTGCCACCCTGTCACCGGAGCCTGCCTCTGCCCCCCAGGATGGAGGGGTTCGCGGTGTGACAGTGGTGAGCCCCCAGCTCTGCCAGAACCCGGGGGCCCCACTGCCTGGGTGGAGGCGGGTCCCTCACCCCGTGAGTGCTCCGGGCCTGCGCTGGCCCGAGGGCCCCCACCCCAGCCCTTGGCTATCCGCAGCCTGCCCGCACAGCTGGTTCGGAGAGGCCTGTGCCCAGCGCTGCCAGTGCCCACCAGGTGCCGCCTGTCACCACGTCACTGGGGACTGTCGCTGTCTGCCAGGCTTCACCGGGCCTGGCTGTGAGCAGGGTAGGTGACTGAGCTGGGTGGGCCCCGGGCCCGCGGGCGGCTCAGCCCCTCCTGACGAGGCCTGAAGCTCAGACCACACGTCCCCCTGAGCTGTGCCTCAGCCAAGAGGGCCCCGGGGTGACTCGAGGGCGTCGCCTGTGGCCTGGGCTGGGATCGACCTCTCCGCTTGCACCCCAGCCTGCCCGCCCGGCACCTTCGGGGAGAGCTGCGGGCAGAAATGCCGATGCGCCGGCGGGAACCAGGCCTGCCACCCTGCCTCAGGCGCCTGCACGTGCGCTGCCGGCTACCATGGCCCCGGCTGCCAGCAACGTGAGTGCTGCCTGGGCTGCCCGCCCGGCCGTCCTCGGGCCAGGGGCGAGGGGGAGATGCCGGGGCCCTGTGCTGGGGGGACCCAGCCCCAGGCAGCCGCCTGTTCCCTGCAGGGTGCCCGCCGGGGCGCTTTGGGCTTGGTTGTGAGCAGCCGTGCCGATGTCTCAACGGGGCCTCCTGTGATGCTGCCACCGGAGCCTGCCACTGCCCCGCGGGGTTCCTGGGGCCCGACTGCAGCCTCAGTGAGTGGCCGGGTGAGGGCGGGCGGCTCCCTCCTGCGCCCCCCGGTCTGTCAGGAGGACTCTCCTGACCACCCGCCCCGAGCCTGCCCGCTGGCCCCGGGCTGGGCTGAGCTGGGATGTCCCGCAGGCCAGGTCCTCCGGCTGTGTGCCGTGCCCCGTCCTCGGTCCTGTGGGGCGGGTGTGCCGCTGTGCAGAGGCCAGCAGGCATCCTGCTGAGAGCAGGACCTTTCCCTGAGTCATGCGGGGACTTTCCACCTGTCTGGGGTGTCGGCTGGGCTGACAGGGCCTGGGCGGGGGCCCCAGTGAGTCACTGTTGCTGTAGAGCAGGCCTGGCCCCCCGCAGAGTCTGCGGGAAGGGGAGACGCCAGAGCTGCAGGGAGCCAGGGAGCAGGCAGTCTCCGCCCCCGGGGCCGGGCACCAGGGACTCCTCCCGTCCCGCCTCGTCCCGACATGGCAGAGGGAATGGGTCCTGCCAGGGACAGCCACCCTCCCATTTCCTCTTGGCAGCCTGTCCGCAGGGCCGCTTTGGCCCCAGCTGTGCCCACGTGTGCAGCTGTGGGCAGGGGGCAGCCTGTGACCCCGGAACCGGCACATGCACCTGTCCCCCGGGGAGGACCGGCGTCCACTGCGAGCACGGTGAGTGCTCGCCCGCCTGCCGCCCTGGGCACTTCCAGGCGTCCCTCCCATCAGCCGCCAGGTGGGGGCGATGGGGTGGAGCAGTGGCGTGGGGGGGTGGCATGTGCATCCACACCTCCCTCCCTGTCGACCCACCCACCCCGCCCCCAAGCGTCCCGCCAGATAAGAAGTGAGCGCCTTGCTCCGGTCAGCAGGCCACCCAACACCACCTTTGCCTTCCCTGCCTCGACCGTGGTCCCTGATGCTGGCCATCAAGTGACTGGTCTACATCCCTGTGGCCAGTGAGGGCTGAGCAGGGTCTGACCCAGAGCCCCTCCAGCCCCGCAGCAGGAGGGGTCAGGCAGCTGTTTCTTCTGAGGGCAGAGCTAGCCTCCTGGCTGATGTGCCCTTGGAACAGGGTCCTTCAGGCCCCTTCCGCTGGGCCCAGGGGTGGGGACCCCTGATGGAGGGAGGCCTGGGATGGCCCTGGGGACAGTCATGGGCCTCACACTCATGATGGCATGCCAGTCCCCACAGCCACACCCACGGCACCTTGGCTTAGCTCCCTGGTAGGCCTGAGTCCCTCCCACCCTCTGGTCCTCATAGAAGAGCTGGTGACACCCCCTCGCCCTCGGCTCTTGGCAGTGAAGGGTCAGAAGCCCTGGCACCTGGCTGCAGCTGGGCTACGTCCTTGTTCCCAGGGAACGATGGTGGCCGCGGGCCAGTCAGATGTTGAACGGGGGCTCTGCGCCGTTCCACCCGGAGGGTGTGCCCTCGCAGAGTGCCGCCACCCCAGGAGGCTCCCGACTCCTCCCACTGGCCCGGCAGGCTCTCGAAGCTCCTGGAGGGCCCTGGCCCCCTTCCCCTGAGTCATCCTCAGCCCTGGGGCAGCCTGGCCTTTGCTGACCGAGAGGGTGGATGAATGGGTGGGACCCGGCAGGTGTCGCTCCTGGATGCACGTGTGCCCAGGCGGCAGAGACTGGCCCAGAGAGGGCCCGGGAAGTGTTTGTTGAATGACTGTCAGACCTGGTGGGGATGTGTCTGGGGCGTGTCCAGCCTCGGGCCAGAGCTCAGAGCTCAGAGCCCGGCCGCTGTCTGCAGGCTGTCCTCGGAACCGGTTCGGCGTGAGCTGTGAGCACACGTGCTCCTGCAGGAACGGAGGCCTGTGCCACGCGGCCAACGGCAGCTGCTCCTGCGGCCTGGGCTGGACCGGGCTGCACTGTGAGCTGTGTGAGTGTGCCGGCCAGGTGGGGGGCCGCGTCCCTGTGCGGCCTGGGGGGTGGGCACCCGAGCGGCCCGAGTCGGGCTGGTGCGCGCGGGGCTGGCCCTCGTGGCCCTGCCCTTCCGTAGCAGGACGCTGACCTGCGGCTGTCCCCAGCCTGCCCTGCCGGGCGCTACGGTGCTGCCTGCAGCCTGGACTGCGCCTGCCACCACCGCGGCCCCTGCGACCCCGCCACGGGCGCCTGCCGCTGTGGCCCCGGCTTCTACGGCCAGGCCTGCGAGCACTGTGAGTCATGGCGTCTGCTTCTTGGGGGGGCCTGTGGCGCAGGCCTGAGCCCCTCTCACAGAGGGCTCACGCTGGAGCAGGCGGAGGGGACGCAGGGCCTGGCACAGGGTGGGAGCAGGGGTAGCTCAGTCCCTCGGGCTCGCTCGGGTAGACTGAGGCAGGCTCTCTAACTCAGTCTCCCTCAGCCTGTCCCCCGGGCTTCCACGGGGCTGGCTGCCAGGGGGTGTGTGAGTGTCAGCACGGAGCCCCCTGCCACCCCGTCAGCGGCCAGTGTCTCTGCCCCGCTGGCTTCCACGGCCAGTTCTGCGAGAGGGGTGAGTGCCCCACGTCCCACGTGCTCCCACCCGACCCCCCTGCCCTGGCCCTGGCCGGCCTGGGTGTGGGACAGGAGGGGACGCTGAGCCCACTGTCCCCACCAGGCTGTGAGCCCGGCTCCTTCGGAGATGGCTGCCGTCAGCGGTGTGACTGCGAGGGTGGGGTGCCCTGTGACCCCATCACTGGCCACTGCCTCTGCCCCCCGGGACGTACGGGGGCCACTTGTGAGCTCGGTGAGTCTGGCGTCCCACGGGGGGGCGACGAGCACCGTCCGTGCTGGCGGAGCCCCAGCTGCCCAGTGCCCTGGGCTGGGCGCCCCTGTCTGCCCCTCCCTTCCCTCCGCAGTGGAGCAGCCGCTCAGAGGGTCCCAGCATGGAGCGCCTGCTTGGGTTGTCAGGGCCACACGCTGTCCCCAGGCCACCCACAGAGTCCCCGGGGTGGAGGTCAGTCACCGGAAGAGGGCCCTGTCAAGCGGGAAGGAGACCTTCCTGAGCCACCGACACGGGACAGGCCTGTGCCGTGTCCATGGGCCACCCTGACCACCACATCCCCCTCCAGGCAGGTCCCCAGTCCTGACACCTGCTCCTATGAGAGCTCACAGGGCCAGGGAAACTGAGGCGCGAGGTTTTGCTCCCGCATGACCCCACACAGAGGGTGACCGGAGGGCGGGGGTCCCTGGCTGGGGCAGACGGGGACGACATCGGGCCTTTCTCCCCGGCCGTCGCCGTCCTGCAGACTGCACAGGGGGCTTCTTCGGGCCTGGCTGTGTCCTGCGCTGTGACTGCGCGGGTGGGGCTGACTGTGACCCCGTCACCGGGCAGTGCCGCTGTGTGGATGGCTACACGGGGCCCACGTGCCAGCAAGGTGAGCCAGGCTCCTGGGGGGCCCATGTCCACAGCCCCGGCCCTGGCCGAGTCCCTGTCCCTCCTCCCCACACACAGAGCTGGCTTGGCCAGGCTTGTGGTGGGAATGTCGTCATCTCAGTGAGGTGCCAGGGTGTCCGAATGGCTGCCGATGGGCAAAGTGTAACCCTACAGCCACTGGACGGTGGGTGTGCTGCCCGCCTGAAGCAGCCCCACCGCCTCCAGCCCCAGGCAGTGGCGGGGGTGGCCCAAGCTGCAGACCTGACCCCACGGGCAGGGCCGGGTGACCCACTGTGTGCCTGCATGCACCCGCAGGCAGGGCTGGGGAAGGTGCAGGAAGGTGCAGACCCCCCTCCCCGGGGACTGTGCTGTCCCTCCCGCCAGCCACGCCCCTTGGGCTGCTACCCCAGGCCCAGCTACAGAAGGGACGTGTGTGCACTTAGAGGATTCTGCCTGTGGAGGGAGGTGGGAATCCACCTTGGAGTCAAGGCCCTACAGACGGGGTGACGGGGGAGTGGGCTGTGAGCAGATTCCAGGTGGGCCCTCGGTTTGGGGACCCCAAACGGGCTTGAGGTTGTCTATGCATGTATCTTTTTGAGCTTCACCAAGGCAGTCCTGACCCCAAACTGTTCAGAGCCGTCAGGGGGACCACTCCTCCCACTCAGGGTGGGCCGGGGAGGTGGCGCCAACCTTGCCGGCCATTGCGGCACCTGGTGGCCAGGTGTGGTACTGCACCATGGGCCCCCGCTGTCCTGAGCAGTGCAGACGTTTGGGGGTGCGGTGCCTCCTACCTGAGGCCCCGTGGGAAGGCCAATGGGCAGAGCCTCGCTGCCTCCACCTGGAGGGGGTCCCGCTTGGCCCGTAGTGAGGCCCCTCTCCATCCAGCCCAAAGTCCCTCCTCCCAGCCCTCCGTGCAGCCTGGACCAGGCAGGGCTGAGAGCTCCCATCCAGGGAGGGGGAGAGGCCCTACCATTTGCTTAGGGGTGCGGGCCCCTGTGGCCGGGACCCCTATCACTGCCACCCACCCACGGGAGGGCCACTACCACAAGCGCTGTGTGTTCACCTTCAGGTGGCCCCCTCCAGCTCCCCGAGATCCCGTCCTCAACCCCAAGCCCAGGTAAGGGGACTGGGTGGCATTTGGTGGTGTCATGGGTCTGTCACCAGCAGACTGAGGCCAGGGGGTGGGGGTGTGTGGCTCAGGCGCTTCTGTAGAATCTGGGCCCACAGGGCAGCGGGTGCCCCTAAGTGGACCTTGAGATGAGGCCGGCGGAAGCTGGGAGGGGGGCCGGAGCCGGAAGGCAGGAGGAGAAGCGTGAAGTCCCCCCACCCTGGGGCTGACCCTTGCCCCTGCTGTCCCTCGCACCCAGTCCCTCACAGGCCAGCAGCCGGACTCCGCAGCAGGGCAGAGAAGCACTAGCACAGAGGCAGCCCCGCCGAGGCCCGCCTCCCGGGGGCTGTCACGGGGCCCCGGGGCCTTCGGTGATGACTGAGGAGGGACGCTCATGGGCCAGGACCCCCGCCCCACCTCGCCTCTGAGGGCTGTGGACAGCCATGCAGCCACTTGCTCTGCAAGGACCATCTGGCCTTGAGAACGGAGACCCCACTGGGTCCAGCTCTGCACAGCCCAGGCGAGGGGACAGGCTGGACCGCACTGGCCGTCTGCGCTGGGAGGCTCTGCCCCTCCGGCCACGCTGGGTTGGGACTCGGGCAGATGTGCGCACAGGTGCAGGCGAGGGGCCCCTGCCTTCCGAGCAAGTTCTTTGGTGCTAGGCCCTGGGACTACTGCAGCTCGCCTGTTTACCGAGAAGTGTCGCCAGCCAAATTTATGTGACGGTATTTATGTGCAGCTGCACACGCTGCCGCTGCCCTGGGTGCTGGAAGGCGGCCCGTGCCCCGCCCCGCCTCTGGAAGACCTGACTCGGGACTTGGGGGCCCAGAGGGTGTCTGGGAGGGGACTCCGGCACCTCGTGAAGTCCAGGAAGTTAAGAAAGGTGGCCACTCTCTTGAGGCCTGTGTGTTTGCTGCTCTGTGCGTGCTCCGCATGTATGTGCTGGGACAGGACCCCCGCCCCCCCACGACCAGGGAGGCCCCGCGGGCACCCGGCCCCCTAGCTCCTGCTCCTTCCTGGGGCTTGGGGTGCCAGCAAGTAAAGCTGGGTTTGTCCTGGTTTCCGGCGCCCGAGGGGCAGGCAGGTGCTGCCCAGAAAGAGGTGGGCAGACCCGCTAAACAGCGAGGCACCCCGAGGCCCCGGGCCTGCACATGGCCCCAAGGGGAGGCGGCAGCATGGGCGCCCCACCTCTACTCATGCCCCTCCTGTCCCCAAGGGCAGAAACAGTGATGAGGGGTGGAGAGCTCACAGGGACGGGGTGGGGTGACCAGTGGAGAAGTTGGACTCAGACTGTCACACCAGACGCTTAGGGCCTGAACTATATCCCCCTCCCTCCCCTCCAACACCAGCCCAGCTCGCTGATACCCCAAGGGCAAAGGACCTCACGGGACGAAATAAGGAGGGTTCTAGAAAGCGCTGTCCCCTTAAACAGACTACTGGTGAACGGCAGCGAGCAGAGGAAGCCAAGTTCATGAGCCGCGTGCCAAGGCTCCGAGGCCAGTACAGCCAGCATCCGGGAGGCGGTCAGGGGCAACGGAAGAACCCGCCGTGGAGGGGCCGGAGGAGTCGGTGGGTGGGCGGCAGGGACACAGCTGGGTAGTGGGTTTTCCAGCCCAGGACGCTCTCCCAGGGGGCCGCTGGGAGGCGTAGAGAGAGAATACAAAAGAAGCGTTCATGGAAATGGGTAAGGAAGCGTTCACATCCGTCCAGTTGGAATCGTAGAAAAAGAGAAAATCCTTGCCGTGAAGCCACAGCGAACAGGAAGTTCTCAGATCGAAAGGTGGGTGATCGCAGACCGAGAAGGCTCAAGGTGCAAAAGCAAGCGGAAAAGCCACAGTCCAAAACACGTTATCTGTGGCAAAGAGAAATTCTAAAATGCCCCGAAAAGAAGGACAGGAATCAGAGTGACATCGGACATTGCAACAGATACGCTCTAAGAAACCCAGGACGCTCTCCCAGGGGGCCGCTGGGAGGCGTAGAGAGAGAGAATACAAAAGAAGCGTTCATGGAAATGGGTAAGGAAACGTTCATATCCGTCCAGTTGGAATCGTAGAAAAAGAGAAAATCCTTGCCGTGAAGCCTCAGCGAACAGGAAGTTCTCAGATCGAAAGGTGGGTGATCGCAGACCGAGAAGGCTCAAGGTGCAAAAGCAAGCGGAAAAGCCACAGTCCAAAACACGTTATCTGTGGCAAAGAGAAATTCTAAAATGCCCCGAAAAGAAGGACAGGAATCAGAGTGACATCGGACATTGCAACAGATACACTCTAAGCAAGGAGACAGCGATGTTGTTTTCAAACGTTCAGGGAAAAAAACCCGCAACTCGAATTTCAGATTCTACTAAACTATCACCGAAAAGCAAAGCCCACATTATCCTTAATCTCCAAGGCCCCGGGGATTACCATGGAAACCTGACTTGAAACCGTGCTCAGAAGAAGCCCTCCGGCAAGAAGAGAAAGAAGCCAGGAGGGTGACAGGAACACTTCCCCGAAACCTAGTGAACGGGACATCGCCATTCACGGAAACCGGCCTCTGAGACCTCGGCCTGGGATGGGGAGGGCAGTGTGCTCTATGACGCCCCTGCTGGTGGAACAGAGACGTGCGGGCCGAGTGGAATGAGACAGGTGCACCCCGGCCAGAAGACTGAGGAGGATTCAGGTTCATCCCCCCAGTGGAAGTCAGGGAAGGAGGGAAAATAAAATGCAAGAAGGAGAAAACGTGAAGAAATCCCGATGTGAGTGGTTACAGACGATCGCAAAACAGGCCTTGGACCACGGTAAATATTCAACGGTTCACTACAAGAGATACACCAGGAAGGGTAGGAATAGAAGCATAGAAAGTAAACCGAACGAAAGCTGAGGCAGGAGGTCTAGTATTTCAGGCTTCAAGCATCATGCGTGACTGCATCAATGTATGTACTCATACACGCACGTAACAGAGGCTCGGAAATTCATACCGCAGTGACGGTGTAACAGGTAGGAACAATTATAACCGGTGACTTTAGTGTGCTCTTTACAGAAACCAATAGGTTAACCAAAAAGACGTGAACACTGATGACGTTTGCATGAGCTTTAACAAGCTATATTTTTATACTTACGTTTATATATTATATTCATGTTTGTACTCGTTTGCATTTAAATAAACGTTACACTTAGCAAATGGAGAATAACGAAACGTTTAACGAAATAAAAATTTATTTTTTGAAGACTAATTTGAAGGAAAACAACTCTTGCAAGACCTGACTTTTTAAAACATGGAGCAAGGGAAAAAATACAGAAGGAGGGAGAACTAACTACAGACCCAATAAAGAGTATGACGTAAACAAATATGAACAGCTCTGCACCAGGAACCTTAGAAGCTTAGAAAAATGGATACGATTTTGGGAAAATACAAAACGCCAGGATTGGTAGGTAGAAATAAAACCCTCAAATAAACCAATAACTTAAGCAAATGCAAATAGTATATTAATGCTCCCCCTCCCTTGCCATTCGCCCAGTAACAGCTGGGACGATGCTGGTACAGGTGGTCGTGCAGACTTTCAAAATACCGTGAACTTGGAATAACATAAGTCATTCCAAGAAACTCTAAGTAGCGGGAAACGGCGCAACGCATTTCACGAGGCCATGTGTTGAGGGCAGAGACCTGTTATGTGTATGCAGAAATCCCCAGTAAAATATTAGCTCCTCAAATAAAAGTATTTAAAAAGTAACATCCACTGGATCCAACGGGAATTGGACCTGATTCTAATCCCAAGCCAGTTTGATGTCAGAGACTGTCACTTTGGGTGAGACGAGAAATCAGAGGAAGGGTACTGGATGGAGCTCAATGTCCCGTAGGACATACATCTTTGGAAACGGTGCAGAAGGCCTTTCTCGGCAGTGCCTATGTGCCAGGAACCTGCAGCGGGTTCAGTGGAAGAAGCAGAAGCGCGTCTGTCCGCGCGAAGCCGCCGGGGCCTTTCTGGCCCGCCCCGTGCACGCCAGGGCCCTGCTCTCCATCCTCCGTGCGTGGCTGACCACGTGGCCCTGGCGCGATGTCTGTGTCTCCCTCCAGCGGTCCTTCCCCACTAGGATGCACCGGGAGGCGGGGCTTCGCTTGCTTCACGCTGGACCACCAGGTCGGGACCCGGGCAGGGCCCAAGAAACTGTGGAACAAGCTACCTGTCCTTAAAGATCAAGGCACAGCTCGGGAGGCCCCAGGCCAGTCTGTCCAATGAGAACGAGAAGCGTGACAATCTGTGGTTTTCAGGGCTGATCCTGCTGCTGTGGAAAAGCCGGACGGGCCAGCAGGCGGGCCAGCATGACCAGTAAGAACCCGGCGAGGTGGGCCATCAAGCCACGCAGGCGTGTGACCTGCGCAGGGCCCACACGGACCCACGGTTCCTCAGCACCAACAGCAGCAGCTAGGAAACACCTCTGTCAGATGCCGCTCCAGGTGGCGACTCGACCAGTGAACCGCGGATGCGTCTGGCAGAAGGGCGCGCGAGGCTTTCACGGAGTTCAGGGGACCTGGAAGGGCCCAGCCCGGGGGACGTCCTGCCTCTCCAGCCAGCCTCCCCGCAGGACGGGCCCCAGCTTGCTCAGCGAGAGGCTCTGTGATTGGGTACGCGGGGGACCGCTCCGGGAGGACCTGCGAGGCATGTGCCCCCAGGAACTGGCCCCTTCAGGGCCCCTCCGGCCACCAGGGGGCGGCAGAGGGGGGAGGCAGGGCCACCCAGAAGGAAGGACAAACCGGGGGCCCGGAACGTTCTGACATGGTCGGAAACAGGAGCTGAGGGTGCAGGGTGGCACAGAGATCCTAAACCCCATGTGATGAGAAGCAAGAATCATGTACCGCCTTGCCTGGTGGAGGACACCAGTTTCCAGGGACGCCCACGGTTCAGGGACGTCCACGGTTCAGGGACATGCGGACACACAGCAGGGTGGCCGCAGAGTGGAGGGGGTGCCGATTGCAGGCCTGCCCACTTGTGCGCCTCACGCCTTTGCTCCACGTCCCCAGGGATGGGCGGGGGTGCCCAGGACGGCTCTGGGGAAGGGGTTCAGTTGCAAGGCCCTGACCAGCCCCCACTTTCCGCCACACTGCACGTGCCCCTGGTTCAGGGACATGCGGACACACAGCAAGGTGGCTGCAGAGTAGAGGGGGTGCCGACTGCAGGCCTGCCCACTTGTGCGCCTCACGCCTTTGCTCCACGTCCCCAGGGATGGGCGGGGGTGCCCAGGACGGCTCTGGGGAAGGGGTTCAGTTGCAAGGCCCTGACCAGCCCCCACTTTCCGCCACTCTGCACGTGCCCCAGGCACGAGGTCCCTGTGGGTGGGCTGGGTCAGCTGTTGTCCTAGGAAGCCTCACCCCCCTGCAAGCTCGGTGACCCCAGCAGTGGACAAAGGATCTTTGGGCCTTCATTTCCCGACCTGCAGCAGGACGGGACGCACAGCTGGCCTGACCCCCGTGGAAGGGTCCCGTCCTCCCCAGGTGGCTGCCCCTCCCGGCAGCGTCCAGGACGACCTTCCTCCAGGCCAAGCATTCTTGCTCTTTGTTTATGCTGTTGATGGTGCAGAGGGGCCTTCAACCACGCAGACCGAGTCAGGCCGGAGGGCACATCCCTGCCCCAGGTCACGACATTGGGGACAAGGCCTCAGCGCTTCCAAACCCACTTTGCTCCACTGACTGGAACTGCGCTTGGCGGGGATGTGGGAAGGGGCGGCCTGCCCGCCTGGGAGCTTGGGGGTGAGCGCTGAGAACAGGCGGGTTACGGGGTGAGCGCTGAGAACAGGCGGGTTACGGGGTGAGCGCTGAGAACAGGCGGGTTATGGGGCAGTTCGGCTCGTACAAACACTGCCCGCCAGCTCCTAACGCGCACACACACACGCACCTGCCAACGCGCGGGCCACCAGCTTGCCCCCCTGGGGCCCCAGCCCCCCAGACCATGCCTCTCCCTGAGCCCGGCCTTGCCCCTTCCCCCACCCCCCATCTGGCAAAGCGGCCCAGGAGGGTCCTGCTTGGCTCTGAGTGGGCCAGGCCCTTCTGGCCACCCGAGGCCATGGAGGTGACCTTGGAGGTGTGGGGTGGAGTGGCCCACTCTGCGGTGATGAGCCCTTTCCACCACCTGCTCCAGGGACTGCTGGAGAAGCTCCACCCCTCACTCGCCCCGCCATCCAGGCCTTTGCTCCTGAGCCTGAGCCTGAGCCTGAGGCTGCCGCTGGCCCCAGGGCTGAGCCGCACAGAGCCTGGCCTCCCCAGCCCCCACTTCCAGGTGGGGGCTGCACCTCCAGCTTTCATTAGAAGCTGGCACCCCAGTGGGACGTGGCAGACACAGACTGCTGGGAGCCCCTACCCCAAGGACAGCACTGCCCCAGCGTGGGGACAGGACTGGCATGGGGAGGCAGAAAACAGCACCCCCTCTGCCCCCAGAAAAACTGTTCACCACTCCCAGCAGGACCCTCCTCCCCAGCCCAGCGGTCTGCCTGCCTCTCCCATCTGCGCGGCCCCCATCCCGGGGGAGCAGAGGTGGTGAGGGTTCCCACAGGCTCTGCTGTGTCCTCCAGCCCCCACACCCACTGGTCTTACCCAGGACACTCCAGGGGGACAGACCGACCAAGGCGAAGGACAAACCCAGAGTGACCGTGAGTGGGGGCCAGCCCCAGCCCCAGCCCCGGCCCGAGGCACTTCGAGAACCTCCTGGGGACTCGTGTGGCCTTCGCCTGGGCTCAGAGTCGCTGTGGAAACTCAGGTGTTCTAGAAACACTTTAATCTCTCTGGAAACCTCAAAGTCACAAGTGCGGAGCTGGCGCCCCAGGCCACCTCCCTCCAGCCTCCTCTCGGAAGGCGGGCAGCCCCGGGCACTCCTCGTCTGCACGAGGCGGGAGCAGTGCGGGAGGGAGATGGCAGTGTCCTCCCGTGTCCCTGGGACCATCCGCCTCTCATTGCCGGTGGCACAGGAGGGACAGGGCCAGCCAGGCTCCTCCCAGGGGCTTGGCCAGCGGTCAGGGCTGGCGCGGCCCCTGAGCTTGTCTGGGGGTGCTCCCCGGGGGTGGGATGGGGGGCGAGTGTGATCCTCTTCCTGGGAAGTGTCTGGAGTTGTTGCTGCCGCTCCGGGGCCTTGGGGTCCAGGAGGGCTCGGGCTCGGGGACAGGCCCACGCGCCCCCCGGAGCCCAGCACGGGCTGCTGAGCGGCCTGGAGCCGGGCGCACGGGCTACACGTCCGTCTCCACCCGCAGCCGCTGCAGCCTGCGCACGTTGCCCTCCACGGCCCCGCGGTTGGTGATGTGTTGGGCGAAGTCCTCGGGGAACCAGCCCGTCTCGCCGTCCCTCAGCCTCTCGCCGTACAGCCACCCTGCGCCCAGACGCGGGGCGGGTGAGGGCAGGGTCCCAGGCACCGGGGAGGGGCCCTGATGTCGGCACCCCAGCCCTCGGGGCGGCTGTCCCAGGAGACACCACGGCCAGGCATCCGGAGAGCTGACCACCACCCCGTCCCACCAGGGCGCCCTGCTCAAGGCACGTGTGCTTGGTCAGGTACTCAGGCTGGCCTTGGGGCTGAGCTCGCTCCAACCAGCTCTGTGCAGCCACCTGCGGGCCCAGGAGCGGCAGAGCCAGCCGCCACCCACTGGGATGGGAAAGAACACAGTGACCAAGAACTTGCTTTTGGTCCTGCAACTTGGGGACATCTGAAGGTGTCCTTGGAAGCGGATGCTGCAGGGGGCCTTGGCATCAGGCCACCACGAGTGTGTGCAGTAACTGCTTCCGGGGCTGGGGGCTGGGGCCCCCAGACTCATCAGCCCCAG